AAAAAAATTAATATTAAAATTTTTTTGAAAGTTTTTACCCTTCACTTAAGGTGCCACTGCCTAAAATCTTTACCATATAAATGAAGCCGCTACTACCAGAGAAAAACAACCTCCGTCAGACGAGCCAGTAGCTCGGGAATGGGCATGACATGATGCCTCCGGCGTTTGGTCCATAACAGTCATGGCATGTCCATACATGCCACCCGGCGGCAATGGGTTAACAGTTCAGCTAGGATGCCACAAATACCTGCTGCTTTGCCACTCTTCAGCTTGGAGATTGCCACCCCTAACTTCAGTTGGGGGGGGCGATCCCCTGTCAGATGAGCTGCACAGCAAGCATCTGTGGCTTCCAGTGTCTCCTGTGAGATAAAATTCCGTATTGTCCTTGGGCGTTCACCAACTGACTCTTGGGCTGCACCAAGTGTTTCGCACTTGAAGGTGTCCCACAGAAGTACAGGGTCCATCAGACTGTCGAGCACTGTGAAACAACCAGAGATTGCCTCAGCAAACCCCCAAGCACACTCCTCCTCCTTCAGCCTGTCCAGATGAAGCACCCTAGGGTGATCATTGGACCGCTTGGGAGTTTGAAGTGGACCCGGAAGGTAGCCACAACCAATCTATGGTCAGTACCACAGAACTCTGCACTCCTATACACCCTGTAGTTCAGGAGGATTCTCCAACGAGTGCTAACGAGTATGTGGTCGATCTCCCTGGTTGCATTACCTGCATCGCTGTACCATGTCCAACAATGTGAATTTGGGTCCTGGTACCAGGTGCCAGAAATCCTCAATTTCTGGGACCTTGCAAAGTCCCAGTAAAGGAGGCTATTTTCTCTGCTGGTATCAGCTCCTGAACCATAAGGACCTACAGACATCTCATAACCAGCTCAATCACAGCCAGATACTGCACTGAAGTAAACCAGGACAAAATGAATATCCCGCTGGGGACAGCTGTCTGTCACAGAAGCAAGTTTGGTGTAGAACATCTCTTTCACGTCGAATTTACAAACATCTGTAGGAGCGTACACAGCAATAAGAGACATGAAGCCATACTAGCTTCAGTCTCATTACCATTTTACGTTCATCGACTGGAGTAACCTCTACAACCGAGGGCTGGAGCCTACTGGAGATAGCTATGGCTACTCCCTGGAGATGGTGACCATTGCTGTGGCCTGACCAGTAATAGGTGTAGCCACTTACACTGATTGTGCCGCTGAAGGTCTTCTCAACTCCGAGAGAGCAGCCACCCCAACTCTCAGCCTCCCCAGTTCCCTCGATAGTAGAGGCAACCGATCGTCCTGAGGCAAAGAGCGGATGTTCCAAGCCTCCACCCTGACTTACCACCTGAGGTTCACCCTCGGGCAGTCAGGTGGACGCCATCTCTGCCACCCCCACCGACACTACCCCTCATAAAAGGGGGCGGCAGGCTGCAGGACCCAACATCCACCTGTGGGGTTCCCTAGGGCTTTGCCCCACAAGCTTCATTCCAGGCTGGCGGCTGCCAGAACATTTAGAAGGTATAAATAACAAAAAGACAGAGAGAGAGAGAGGGGGAAGAAAAAAACAAACAAACTAAAATCTAACATGTAGAAGGTATAAGCAGGGAAAAAAAAATTGATTCTCAAATTTGCAGAATATGGAAGTTAGTCTGACTTTTTTGTTTTGTACAAAACATTCAGGCTGAAACAGATATTCTGGCAGGCATGCAAATTGTGAAAAAGATATACATATTGAAAAACTTAAAATTGATGTACAGAAAGTGCTAAATAGGAGTTATATCTAAACAATTTTGTTTTATATTCCATCATAACTTTTTATCCATAAATCTGTAAAAGTCATTAACCCTGGGTTAAAAATTTGGCTAGTGGGTCCAATGAGCCGATGGCACGGGAATGGTCATGATGTGATCCCATCTGCTACTTGGTCCACAACAGCCATGGCATGTATAAACATCCCACCAGGCAGAAAGGGGTTAAATGGTCCCCTCATCGTATCCTACATGAATTTACCTTCATAGTAGAGTGTACCTAAACCTGTTCATGAAACTACTGCTGATCATAATAAAATAAACATGGATTACATGTTCAATTGACAAACATCAAACTTACCACAAGAATGAAAACATCTTATAACTCAAATATAAAATACATGATAAACTGTTTGAAGAAAACTCATAAATATGCAAAACAAACTGAAAATAAAAAGAATCAATTTAATTTCCTTTATTTCACTTTGGAGCCTGATAGCAACACTAGATACCGGTACTGCCAATGGCATTCCAGGGCATTATAGCGCCCAGTTTGAGAACCACTGATCTATGGACTATTTCATAAAAAGGCATCTGCCAATACAGACTAAAATTCTCTTAAGTGTAACTTAACTAAACAGTCTTACCAATAGTCTGGTTAGTAACAGAGTGACTCCATCCATTAAAGCCAAAAATTTCATTGGCCAAAGATATGAGGCGCCAGCCTTCTATATATGCAATACGCTGGCCTCCCGCTCCTGATCGCTGGCTGATAAAAGACTGCCCAAGTTTCTGTCGCAATATATTCTGTATGGCCATCTGCTCCTCTCCAGTGAACTCAACCTGAAAAAAAGTTTAATAAAATTTTGAATTCTGATACTGCATAAAAAAATACCAAGCACTCTTTGATTGCACTATTATATTTAGGCACTACACTTAATGTTCATCAAAAATGCATTTTCTACTCTAAAAATATGAACTTTATCTATATAACAGGGTAAACAACAATAACAATAGAAAAATTTCTTTCTTAAGGTACATATCAAAAAATATATATGCAATTTATGATGACAAGCTATAAATCTGTTAAATTGATTTCATTTGATCTGTCAATATCAATGTTATGCATAAAATGGGAGGGAGGACTGATACATAAAAAAGTTGACTTGTTTTAATCCATCATGGTCAGAAGATCATGCAATGCAAAAAGAAACTGAGTAATTGAATCATCTCCAACCAAATACTTTTAAATACCATTTTTCAGGAACTGAGGAGGAATGTATATGATTACAGATCATATATAAGCAAATTATATGTCCCCTATTATAGTTTTCCATCTTTTTGGGCTATACATGGAAGCAAAAATTATACAAATAAATGAATAAGGAAATAAGTAAACAGAGTCCCATATCATACTGATTACACTGGCTGAATGAGGTACATAAAAAATAAATAAATTAATTAAAAAGTTCTGTTTCTTGCAAGGCAATGCAAGATTGTAAGGTATTCATTATTATAGAATAATAATAATGAATACCTTACAATACACATTTAGTTTCTTTTTCTGCACAAGACTGAGGATTCCCTGGGCTTGGTGAGTATTCCATTTTCTACATATGATACTGTGGTTATCTGAGATTTGCTCCTTGCATTTAAACTGAGTCAGGTTTTTCCTATATTTTGTATGCAAACTTGTGTTCCATTCCCATGTGATTGCATTGTTATTTATGTCTCTTCTTTTTGTTTTTCATCATTTGAACAGACTTCAATGGGCTAGTCTTGCAACTGCTCTCATGATTCCTCCTTGTAATTCCATCAAAAGTGGGATATATGTAAAGAGAACATCAAAATCAAAGCTATATGGAATATTTTGATTTGGTATGGTAAAATTTCTTCACTAGCTTTCAGAACTGAAAAAATAGTAAGTGTCGGGAATTAATTTGAGATTACAAAATATAAACTTGTGGTGTGTATAAAAAGTGACTATGTATTAGCTTAGTATGACATACATGCCACATGAGATTGAATATGATAGCTCTGAAATTCAGATAAAATTGGATTCAACTATATCATACAAAATACTCCTTTAAGCTCTGGTTAATAGAATCAATCATGAAAACAATACTCCTTATGGAAGATATCTTTATTTTAAGAAGGAATTAGTGAACAATGACCACAGTGGCAAGTGCAAACTCAAATACCTATGTTAACATGTCATACGATTAATCTGCAAGATTGTCATTCTTGTTCAGACCTGTTTCAGGTTACAGGCAAATGGCGAATGATAATTTTTAAGTGGAAGTTTGTGTTATCTGATATCACATAATGAACATGACCGGAGCACACCCTCTAACTCCCATGGTCACTTATAGTATAGATACAAACTATCGAGGGCATTTCAGAACCCAAATTACTGAATGAGATTTCTGGGATTTCTGAAATCCCAAATTTTTTTTAATGGTATTTCTAGATTTCCAGGCAGATTTGTCAGGGATATCTGGAGTTTGAGGGATTTCCTGGGGATTTCCAAAGTTTTCAAATGCATTTAAAAGCATCAAATCATATCAAATGTTTAAAAAGGTTCCACATGAAATGCACTACTGTACCCTAAATCATGACTGAAACACCTTCAGGCAAAAAATTCTCAATGGATTAACTATTTGAGTATTGTTCAGACCAACTCACTTCCAAAAGTAGCCACAATTACTTGGAAATTTGAGCATTTTAAAAGGAGCAATCCTGTTTCTGAAAATTTGCTGGAATAGACATTAAATCAGCCTTTCTAACCCTGGGGTCACCAAGACCTCAAAATTTCAGATGTAGTCAAATTCTGTTTTTAAATGTTTTCAGATATGTAGTGACATATTGATTGAGAGCTAATGGCTAAATATTGCGTGATTTTTACACAATAATTCAAAAAGCAGTTAAAAAATGATAATAATCACTTAATTCTGATGAAGCTTGAACTAAAGAAAATATAATTGTAACTGTGGATTTTGATTATTGATTTATTTATATGTTTACTGAATAATATAAATATGATTATATACTATCATAAAATAGAACAGGCTAGGGTTGCAGTCATGTCTGGAGGCGCATGATTGGAGTAGCCTGTAAAAAAAGTTTGGAACCACTGCTACATTCATAACATCCTGTGCTGCTATTTTATTGATATGATGCTTTACCAAGACAGAATTTAAGCCTTACTGTAAGCAAAATTGGTTCTCCAGCATTTTTTGCCTTATTTTGATAAATGCCTGCTTTGCCCAAAGGATTCCATAGTACTCATTATTACTGATAAATCACTGTGTAACCAACAGGCCAATCAAATCACCTGAAACTTGGCATACAGGATTGAGGACATAACATAGCATTCTGATCTTCAAATGCGGAGGTATTTGTCGAAGTTTATGAAACTTTTTTACTGATTTTAAAGATATCTCAGGTCCTATTATTAAGATTATGTAAAAGATTGCTGTGCCTGGAACATTTACGAGAGTTTAGGATTCTTGGGACTTCATGGAGATTTTAGGATTTGCAAAGAATTTCTTGAGCATTTCATGATTTCCTAAAAAATTATGAAGGATTTCCAGATTAGGTTAGGCTAGGCTTGGTTAGGGTATGCTATGCTAGACTTAGTTAAGCCAAGTTAGGCTAGGTTAGGTTAAGTTGGGCTAGTTTTTCTTAGGTTAGGCTAGGCTGAGTTAGGTATGGTTAGGCTAGGTAAGGGTAGGCTTGGTGAGGTTAGGGCAAAATAGGCTAGACTAGGTTAGGTTAGGAATCCCGAATACGGCAGTACCACACTTATTCCCTGGAAATAATGTTTATATGTGCATGAGCATGTGTGCCATAACCTAACTTCGAGAAATTGGGATATGGATGGTGAACTTGTATCCTTGGCCTACAATTTTTTTCTTAGTTGGATATTTGCACAATTATCCCAGAAAGACAGCACATTCTTTCCTTTCTTCCCTTTCCTTAATGGGGAAATATCTTATTTTGATTCCCCCTTTTCTACTTCTCATCGATCTGGTAGCAAGTTACAAATGACTTTTCATACACAGATAGTGTCAGTAAACACATAGATGCATACTCCTTCTGTTTTTTCTCATTATTGACTACAGAAGAGAAACCATCTCAAAAATTTTAATATAAAAAAAATATATATCTGTAGGGATGTTACTCAATAATTTTGACCAATAATGTACATGATGTTGTTAATAACAATGATGAAAAATAATACTGATAATATTGATATTTCAGATGATAATGATAATAACAACAGTAATAAACTTGATAATTATATTAATAGATATAATAATAGTAATAATGACAATTATAATAACAACAATCACAATATAATAATGAAAACAACAACAGTAATAATAATAATAATAATAATAATAATAATAATTAAAAGTAACAATAATATTAATAATAATAAAAGTAATAATTTTAAAAATAAAATAATAATAATAATAATAATAATAATAACAATAACAATAACAATAACAATAACAATAATAATAACAATAACAATAACAATAATAATAATAATAATAATAATAATAATAATAATAATAATAATAATAATAATAATAACTAGGAGCACTCAAGAGTCTACATACCAGCTTGACAGAGGTGATGATGATTATTGATGATGATGATTATTGATGATGATGATGATGATGATGATGATGATGATGATGATTGATTGATGATGATGATGATGATGATGATGATGATGATGATGATTGATGATGATGATGATGATGATTATTGATGATGATGATGATGATGATGATGATGATGATTATTGATGATGATGATGATGATGATGATGATGATGATGATGATGATTATTGATGATGATTATGATGATGATGATGATGATGATGATGATGATGATGATGAAAATAAAATTAATAATATTAATATTACTACTAATATTAATAATGATAATAATAATATCAATAATGATAATGATAATGATAATAATAATAATGCAATAAACTATATTAATGATAATATGACAATATGATAACTATGACAATAATAATGATAATGGTAATTTTAAAAAATAATAACAATAATGATCACAACAATAAGAACAGAAATAATATCATAATCATCATCATCATCATTTTAATTTTGAAAATATTAACAATAATATATATCAAACTAAAAAATGGGCTACGGATAAGCATCCATCACCACATTCCCCCTAAAAAAAAAGTAATATTTCAGATCTGTAAGACCAATTTATCCTCTTCAGCTCTGGGCAGTCTTTGCCCTACAGTAAAGTATAACTACAAGAGATCCGAATCAAATCTTTAAAAACTTCCAAAGTTGGGCCTATCTGAACTTACCTCTATCATTTATTATTGAATGTGACTACTGGGACAGCAGAAAAGCCCCCAACTGGAGTTCTGCACGTGTGGTGAAACAAACATGATGGTGGCATCTTGATTAGGTTAGTTTAGGCTAGATTAGGGTAGGTTCGTACTTATTACCCAGAAATGATATTTATACGCACATATCCATATGTGTGCTGTACGCCTAACCATGAGAAATTGGATATGGCTGCCGTACATGTATCCTCGGCCTTTTTGATTTGATGTTTGAGTTATAGATGTTATGACAATATTACCTTTGAGATGAAATCCAGCCCCTGATTCCAATCTCACTTCCCCTCATGAAATCTCATTATTCCTCCACTGAACTCCTTCTCCAGTGTTTTGTATTGAGAATTTTCCTTTGATCTCATTTTCCCTTTTCAGATCCCATCATTGTATCCTGTATATTTCATCCTAAATCATTCTGTATTCTTCATATTTCTAATT